GAGAAAACAGAAACTGTCCGACTAAAGACAACTTACACTTGAAAATGAGATTTCACTAAAAGATTGCGAACGATATGAAGACAATCCAGGACTAATTACCGTTACTCACAGACACGGATTCCCATAACAAACCCCCCGAAGTTGTAAACCGAAAGAGAAATTAATTAAGACTTTGAAACTTGTTTACGAGTGTTATAAGCTCTGGAAATTTAATCTATTACTCCCCACTAGTTTCCATGCCGTATATCTTTCACACGCTTCTCACCAGTTCTCGAAATAACCACGCCGGTCACGTTTATGGAAACGTCACCACTGCCATGTCAGAAGGATAATCTCACTCACTGAAGTAACATGGATTGAGATACAAAGATTAGCGCCTTGGTTCATGATATGGTTACTACATCTGTCATGCATATAAAACATTAACTGGCGAGACCAAAGTCACTATTCCCATCATGTTAGGTCATGACGACGTGTGCGGTGTGGTAGCCTAGTGGTTAAAGCGTTCGCTCGTTACGCCAAAGAACCAGGTTCGATTCCCCACATGGGTACAATAAGTGAAGCCCATTCCTGGTGTCTTCCGCTGTGATATTGTTAAAAGCGGATTAAAACTAAACTCACTCACTCATGTCGATATAGTACTCTACATGAAACCTAACCGCCTCCGTGGTGTAGTGGTTAGAGCGTCCGCCCGGAGAGCGGAAGGTCGCGGGTTTGATCCCCGGTCGCGTCATACCAAAAGACGTTAAAATATGGTACTTGTTGGTCCCTGCCTGGCGCTCGGCATTAATGGGTACAACAAGGACTGGTCGGCTCGGAGTCAGTATAATGTGTCTGAGTGGGGTATTCATGCTTCACTGCGGCATGGTATCTCAGTGAGCTAGCACTATAACACCAGCTTCAGTCTGGGCTAGTACAAGCAGCCGCACCTACACATACACACGCATGCACGTCGTCATATGAGCGAAATATTCTCAAGTACGACGTAAAACCCAATTTCACCTCACCTCTACATGACACCTGCACTTGTCGTTTTCCGTTAGAATACATGACGCACATCCTTTACTGCTTGCTAATGGTATATGACAATCGTCAAATTTTGCTTCCGTTAGTTCTCATGTCCGTGATATAATATACCCGTGTCTCACTCTCGTCCACTATTCGTTCGCTCGTCAAGCCGAAGACCCGGGTTCGATTCCCTATAGGTATGTTCAATGTGTGAAGCCATTTCTGGTGTCCCCGCCGTGAGATTGCTGGAATATTGCTCAAAGCATCTCGCTCGCTCCCTCACTCACTCACTGAAATGTAGGGGGTGACTATCGGTGCCAACCCAGGACTAATTACCGTTACTCACAGACACGGATTCCCATAACAAACCCCGAAGTAGTAACCTAAAGAGAAATTATTTATGACTTGAATCTTGTTTATGAGTATTATAAGCTCTGGAAATTGAATCTAATATTTTCCACGTGTTTCCATACCGTACATCCTTCACACTCTTTTTGCCAGCACTCGAAATAGCCAAGTTGGTCACGTTTACACAATTACAATGTGATAAGCATCAACGGATAAACTGCCATTTACACGTTCGTAGCTATAGCAACGGTACATTGAACCAAACAGACAAATATCACAATGCAGGTGACACATTCTATTGTTAGTCCACTACGACAAAAATAACGAGTTGTTTTTGTGCCCTATCCACTGATCCTAGGTAACATGTTTTGGCAGGAAAACCTGTTTTGTTGGAGTACGCTGGGGAGAACTGTTTTGATGTATTTAACTCAGACCTTAAATAGAAGTGTTCAAGAAGTGTGGAAAATAGGTATATTTCGCAACAACTCGATTTATCATTCTATCTTCGATTTATCATTTTATTATCATGATTTACGAGATTTGTTTGAGGCATTGCCACCATTAAAAGTAAATTTTCATTTCTTGCAAATTACATTATCTTGGAAATAAACCAAAATTGAGAAATAACTACGGACCTTAACCTATACATGTTATTTACGCCGAAGGGGTCGTCGGCACGGGTACAACAGATATGTACCCCAGGTGATTGCCCGATCCCCATATTAAACCACACACAGTATACGTGGTCATAGCGATCGTCCGATCCCGATTTTATTCCTCGACACTGTGTATGAGTGAGTATGGTTTTACGCCGCTTTTAGCAATATTCCAGCAATATCAAGCCTACTTGGGAATGCGGGTGGTGTAGCCTACTTGGGAAAGCGTTCGTTCGTCATGCCGAACCGGGTTCGATTTCTAACGTGGGTACACGTACAATGTGTGAAGCCCACTCTAGTGTTCCCTGTGATATTGCTAAAAGTGGTGTAAAACCCAGCTCACTCACTCACTCATGAAGGAGATAAGCTTGACGTGATGCAATCTCTATAACTACATGTATACATTTAAAACGCCATGAACCCCTAAGCAGGGCCATGGTGTTGAGAAACCTATAACATTATATGTGAAAATCTGGATTCGAACCCACGTTGGTAGCTTCTGGCAGCGTCGGACCACCTACTCTGATCTAAAGTTCTAAAATATTGTTGGCTTAATGACTTTGCACTCCAAGACAACGAAAAGCTGGAACCTGAAAATAGGCGTTTTATCCTGCAGTTGACGGTAACATTTTCACGGTAACCTTTTACAGCCTGGGTAGCCTAGACGCATAAAGCGTTGCTCGTCACGCCGACTGACTGGATATATTGAATACTGACTGACTGGGACTGACTAACCCATTTTTGGTGTTCGCCGCTTTTAGCAATATTCCTGCAATATTGCAAAAGCGGCACCAGAAATGGGCTAAAGTCATTGTGCCCATGTGGGAATCAGCCTGGGTCTTTCGAGCCAACGCTTTAACTACTTGCCGGTTACCTCCACTGACTGGATATATTGAATACACAATGGAAATAATTGAGATTGCGGATGGTATTCTTGATCCTTGATCTTTGGGAGTGACCAAGGTGACCAGGTTACGTTTAGGGATCGACAGGGAGCAGCTGGGATTTGTCGAAGAAAGGGGCGGTGGGGTAGCCTAGTGGTTAAAGCGTTCGCTCGTCACGACGAAGACCCGGGATCGATTTTCCAGTTATATCTCTATCAGCAGCTGTAAGTGAAACGACTACCATTTTCGAGGAAGCAATTTAGATAACTGAGATATGATCTTTTTTAACTCAGTTTGTTAGTTGTCACACTTTTTGTTCGCTGGGAATTACTGATATTGTAGCTAAAATATAGGGCCTACACATTCTGATCAGGACTTTTATGGTCCTGGGTCCTTAGGGCCTGCAAGTTTTCAGGGTTAAGGGCAAACACTGCCCAATAGCCCCACTTACCAAAGTGACGCTACCTTGGGTACAAATTCGCAAATAGTGTTAATATTTATTTGGATCTGTTTATAAACTGCTATAGTTCATATGTGTAGATCCCGTGAAGATCCGGGTTAGAATTGATCTTCAGCAACCCAAGCTTGTCGTAAGAGGCGACTAACGGGATCGGGTGGTCAGGCTCCCTGACTTGGTTGACACATGTCATCGTATCCCTAATGCGTAGATCGATGCCATATAGCTGGATACAGCTGAGAGCGGCGTTAAACAACAAACAAATAAATCCTATTTGTATACATGTTCAACGAAATTACACAGTATCAGTTACTTGCAACGCGCCATGACCAGAAAAAACCCAATCATGTGGCACAATTCAACAGCTGTGTTAACACAGCGTGATTGGAACACAGCTGTCATTCTCCAACCCGCCTGCACCTGCTAAATATACTTTGAAAATTCATATTTGGATGGAAATTAAAGATTTGTGTTAATCTTCAGCAGAGTGTGTGAGTGAGTATGGTTTTACGCCGCTTTTAGCAATATTCCAGCAATACCACGACGGGTAACACCGCCTCCGTGGTGTAGTGGTTAGAGCGTCCGCCCGGAGAGCGGAAGGTCGCGGGTTCGATCCCCGATGGCGTCATACCAAAAGACGTTAAAATATGGCACTTGTTGGTCCCTGTCTGGCGCTCGGCATTAATGGGTACAACAAGGACTGGTCGGCTCGGAGTCAGTATGTGTCTGAGTGGGGTATTCATGCTTCACTGCGGTATGGAATCTCAGTGGGCTAGCACTATAAAACCAGCTTCAGTCTGGGCTAGTACAAGCAGCCGCACATACACATACACATGCATGTACGTCGTCATTTGAGCGAAATATTCTCAAGCACGACGTTACACTTAATTTCACCTCACGACGGGTAACACCAGATATGGGCTTCACACATTGTACCCATGTCGGGTATCAAACGCGTACCTTCTACAAAACCAGCGAACGTGTTAACCACAAAGCTACCGCCCCGCCTTGTAAACAAACTCATGACTTGTAAAGACGTTTATTTAAAGTGTCTGACAATGGTAGGTATTCCCATGGCGCTGCGTTGTGTTCATGAATGTATGCTTTTAAAATGCATGTGTCCATTGTGAATTGTGAATCATAAACATAGGTATTGCTGTTATGGCTCGCCGTCTGTTCAATACAATCGTTCGTGCGGATTACATTTATATATCAGCGCAAACGAAACAAATTATTGATTTACTGGCGTACAATGTCCCCATGTTATAAGAGCATTAGTCTCAACTCATAACAACATTTGACATGGCACTATTAACATAATAAAATCACATAATGATCCGCGAGGCGAACAGATAGCATAAAATTGAAGCTACTTCGCTAAAATCGAATAGATCCGTCAGAGCGTGTACACTTCGACCGAAGCAGGATGTCACTCAGATGAGAGAACGAGTTGCATTGTGGGTCATCTAGAGGCGATTGATCTGTATGCTGTCAATATTTGCATAATAGCGCCTGCGAAGTTGAACCGGTCCGCATCGTACTTCTGTATATCAGTGTTGTTGTCGTGACTGTACGAAAACGACAACGGCTTTGCACTTGTAAACATGATGCTGTGAAAGCTCTAAGGCCCTAACTGTGTAGTGTATCGCGGTCAACGGTTTCGAATGGATGGGCCTAACATGGTCGGCTGCACGACGATAGCGATGTGATACTGTTCTCATTGTAGATATTTATTCCAGGCCGACTCACGTTTATGTTTTTAACTGTCGGATAAACGTGTACAAAATAAACAAGGTACATTTTCAAAAGGACAGCCCAGAAGATAAGCGCTGCATTTGCCGGTGAAGTCGCCATCGCTGTCTGCAGCTGTCATCAGCTGACCGGGCCTAGGTGACAGTGGACGTTGATGTCGTCGGTTGTCGTCATGGACCCTGCTCGAGTCTCAGAATACGAGACTGTAGGCAAACGTTGCACTGATCGGCTTCATCAAGGAGGTCAAGAAAGCATCAGGTAGGGAAACAGCATTTTCAGTTATCCTCCGCCATGTAAACAACAAATCTCGGCCAGGCGCTCGGTCCGTGCGCTGGGTAAACGCGGCTATGCACGTGCAAATCGTGCATTCTCGATCGAAACATGTCAAGCAGACGATCACATGTGTTTATTTCGCATCCGTTAAGACACACTCAAGTAAACAATCTTGTTTTTGACGAAAGGGCACTTATGATGTTAATTTAATGCAAGTAACCAAAATATCCATAAGATATGTCAAACACATTGTTAATGAGCAGACTATTTACGCCAATCTATCGTGTCTGAATATATAGAGAGGTATAAATGTAACAGGCCAATCTCATCAATAACAATGCTATCTATATATAGGTGATAAATATATGTATGTGCCGAGTTCAGGTTTATAGAATTTATGTCTTTAAACCAACACCTATTATGAGTTCGTGTTTCATATATTAGAAGTGTAACTGTTCGTAGCATTATATACCAACCATAAACATGACTGTTACTAAACAAATAATTATAGCCTATATTCCATTAGAGGGTAAAATAGCATTTTTGTTTTGGTATATTAGTTTATAATAACATTTCTTGCGTTCTCGTATTAAAAAATCGTATGTCTCATAACTGTCAATTTGGTTGTTTGAATTTTCGTTTGTTTGGCGAGGATGTGTGTGTTACATAAGTCAAGAATTTACCGATGTCAACGTCTTTTTTATTGGAAAAAATACATTTGAGAAAAATTGACTTCTCACGGACCCTCTGCACATATTTGATCTCTCTCTCTCTCTCTCTCTCTCTCTCGCTCTTCTCTCTGTAGTTTTTTAAAAATTTAATGGAATACATGTACATGATTACACGATATTTTCGGACACTTATGTTGTTGAACTTCAGATAGTATAATCGTGGATCATCCAAGGTATTACAAATCCCTGTTTTTGTGATAAGTGTTCTGACATAATGACAATCCAATCAAATTACATTTGCGAACATTCTGTGCAAGAGTTGTTATTGAAGAGATGAAGCTAATGGGGATGGATCCAGGGTATTTATCATAAAACAGGGGTAGCCTTATGGTTAATGCGTTCGCTTGTCACGCCGGAAGTTCCGGGTTCGATTCCCTATGGGTACAATGTCAGAGGCCAATTTCTGGTGTCACCCGCCGTGATATTCCTGGAATATTGCTAAATGCTGAGTGAAGCCATACTCATTTACTATCATAAAAGCATGGCGATACACAGACGAAACGACGATTCATATCTAACCTGTATACCTGTTTCATCTTTTGTTGAGGATACTCAATGAACTTTACCACTCCCTAGGTTTGTACGGCGACAGTGTGTTTCATATTTCTGTCCAACAATAGCGTTTGATTCGCCGAGGGGCTCGGCAAGTTCCGCTGACATTCCGAAGGCCGTCGGTATCTGTCGGCTGTCTGTGTGGATGGGGACGAGACATACTGCGTTGTCGCTGACCTTTAGGCACCCGAAGTAATTGACGAAGCACGTAGGGATATTGAGTAACCGGATGAAACATTTACACTAAGGCATGGCGTCAACCTGAGCAGGAACTCATAACGTCTAACACTGTTAAAGACACGACATGATCCAGTTAAAAGTGTGTCTATCAGGCAGTGCCTGTCTCAGAGACACGGTATAGTCCAGTTAAAAGTGTGTCTATCAGGCCGTGCCTGTCTCAGAGACTCGGTATGGTCCAGTTAAAAGTGTGTCTATCAGGCCGTGCCTGTCTCAGAGACACGATATGGTCCAGTTAAAAGTGTGTCTATCAGGCAGTGCCTGTCTCAGAGACACGGTATGGTCCAGTTAAAAGTGTGTCTATCAGGCAGTGCCTGTCTCAGAGACACGGTATGGTCCAGTTAAAAGTGTCTATCAGGCCGTGCCTGTCTCAGAGACACGGTATGGTCCAGTTAAAAGTGTCTATCAGGCCGTGCCTGTCTCAGAGACACGGCATGGTCCAGTTAAAAGTGTGTCTATCAGGCCGTGCCTGTCTCAGAGACACGGTATGGTCCAGTTAAAGTGAGTGAGTTTAGTTTTACGGCGCTTTTAGCAGCATTCCAGCAATATCATGGCCGGGGACACCAGAAAAGGGCTTCACACATTGTATCCATGTGGCGAATCGAACCCGGGCCTTCGGCGTGACGAACGAACGCTTTAACCACTAGGCTAAACCCTCTCTCCCCGCCCTGCATGGTGCCAGTTAAAAGTGTGTCGACTCACCATGTGGATCAGGGTTCGAACTCAGCCTATATTTTTTAAAGCAGAGACCTTGTACATTCAGTAGTTGTTCACTTGTTAATATTTTCAATATTTCAATAAAATGAAAACAGGTCCTTAACTCTGGCCTTATGAGACTGCTGAATGAACAGGTTATAAGGCTCGGCAATTGCCTTTCATCGTACCCTGACTGCCTGGATCGATACTCATAATATCGATCACCTGAATGTCTGGTCTAAACTCGATCATTTAAATACAGCCACCAGACAGCCGTAAAGCTGCTAAATATGTCATCCTTAAACAGCGAACAAATATTGATCGCTGAAACACCTGTAGTTCATCACTTCAGCATCTCTTTCAGTTGTGTTACGACATCAGCCAGTTTTGATAATGACATTACTCTTTCAAACGTGTTTATGCAAAAACTGAACTGTAAAATGTGATCTTACAACGTGTTACATCAACGAGACGAGGAATGTCGCCAGCTCGTGTCGTGAGTTAGAGTTTCGGTGAGTAAAAATAGGTTAGGGTAGGTAAAATAGTTAAGGGTTATGTCGTAAAACCGGTTATTTAAGATAACGGATAAATGTGAGAGGATTTGAAGTATTTAAAAAAATTACCAGTCATTCAATAAGGAAAACCCACCTGACCGTTCTACCATTTCATTCAACGTTCAACGTTTTACCAAATCTAACCACGAGAGTTCTCCGAAGGGATGCGGAGGGTAGCATAGCGGTTAAAAGTGTTCGCTGTCTCGCCGAAGTCACGGGTTCATTCTCTTCATGGGTTTCAAGGGGCGGTGTGGTAGCCAAGTGATTAAACTGTTCGCTCATCATGCCGAAGACACGGGTTCGATTCCCCACATGGGTACAATGTGTGAAGCCCCTTCTGGTGACCCCCGCCGTTTAATTTCTGGAATAGTCGTAAAAGCGGCGTAAAATTAAGAAACTCACTCACGCATGGGTTAAACGAAAGAAGCCCATTTCTGGTCTCCCTTGCCGTGACATTGGCGAACTGACTTGAAATCTAATTCACTCACCACCAGCATGTTGCAACTTACTATTAAGAATGACTTACATAGGAATCTGCAGGTCAACTGAATTGCGTTTCCAATGAATTTGTTGGTCATGTGGATTCCGGAAGCATGCCCAGTACATCTTGCTTGAGAGCTAATCAGGGACTTATGTAGTCTACCTCTTAGCTGATGACGTGTCATCGTGACCCAGGTCGTTGCTCTTTCTTTCAACCACTGGGGCGGTGGGGTAGCCTAGTGGTTAAAGTGTTTGCTCGTCACACCGAAGACCCGGGGTCGGTTCCCTACATGGATACAATGTGTGAAGTCCTTTTCTGGTGTCCCCCGCCGTGATATTGCTGTAATATTGCTAAAAACGGAGAAAACTAAACTCACTCACTCAACCACTCACTCAACCACTGGCTTGCCTTGTTCATTACTTAGAGGACATGGTCATATAACTATTGCTGTCACCAACTCACTCACCCACCCACTGACTCACTCAAGTGATCCACCAAGCGAGTTAGCAAGTGACGCCATGCTGCTATTGTCTCGTGGGACACGAGGTTCATTAGAAGAAGAAGAATATTCGAATAACCGATAGTCTTAATGCTGAGATTGTCTTGAGACAAGTCGCAGTTCTGACAGTTCATTTTTACGAGGTAATCAATGATGTATGAACAGCTTGGTACCCGTAATCAGATACGCGAGATAGCGGTCTCGAGGGTGTGGTGTATCAATAATTTATACCGTGATTACTTGTATTTGCAATAGCTGAGAATAATTCTGGCAGAACTGGCGATAAGAGGCACGCCTATATCAACAAAGAATTGAGATGCGTTGTCAAAGCTATTAAGCAAACAATTCTCGGTGAATAAAAGATTTCCGTGGCTTTAGTAAACTGTGAAAATATGCGTCGTCAAGTGATTATCATTTGGTCCATCTTAATCTTCAAGGCTGTTTGTTCAGACATGAAATGTTGCCAACCAGCGCCACAAGTACACCAGCCACTACAATGATCACATCTGGGATACACCTGTAACAATTCATGACGTCACGAGTACACCAGCCACAGTAATGACGTCACGAGTACACCAACCACAACAATGACGTCACGAGTACACCAGCCACAACAATGACGTCACGAGTACACCAGCCACAACAATGACGTCACGAGTACACATTCACAACAATGACGTCACGAGTACCCCTGCCACAACAATGACGTCATGTGTACACCAGCCACAGCAATAACGTCACGAGTACCCCAGCCACAGCAATAACGTCACGAGTACCCCAGCCACACCAATAGCGTCACGAGTACACCACAAACAATAACGACACGAGTACACCGCCCACAACAATAACGTCACGAGTACACCAGCCACAACAATACTTTCACAAGTACACCATTAACAACAATACCGACATGAGTACACCAGTCACACCAATAGCGTCACGAGTACCCCAGCCACACCAATAGCGTCACGAGTACACCAGCCACACCAGTAGCGTCACGAGTACCCAAGCCACAACAATAGCGTCACGAGTACCCAAGCCACACCAATAGCGTCACGAGTACACCAGCCACAACAATAGCGTCACGAGTACACCAGCCACAACAATAACATCACGAGTACACCCGCCACAACAATACCATCACGAGTACACCAACCACAACAATAACGTCACGAGTACACCAGCGACATCAATAACGTCACGAGTACACCAGTCACAATACCATCACGAGTACA